CTTAGGGTCATGGGGTCAAGCCCCACCTTAGGCTTGGTGCTCTGTAGGGAGCCTGCATCTCCCCCTCCATCCATCCCTCCCCCCGACTCACTCACGTTCTCTCCCTCTCGCTAATAAATATTTTGTTAAAATTAAAAATAGAATGACCATTCAATCCAGTAATTCCACTTCTGAGTATTACCCAAAGAAAACAAAAACACTAATTCAAAAAGATATGTGCACCCCCATGTTTATTGCATTGCCTCCAATAGCCGAGATAAGGATGCAGTCCAAGTGTCCATGGATGGAGGAGCAGATAAGGAAGATGTCATGAGTGTGCACATGCATGCGGGATATCATGTAGCCATAAAAAAGGATGAGATGTGCCATTTGTGACAACATGGAAGGATTGTAAGAGTATTATGTTAAACAAAGTAAGACAAAGAAAGACAAATACCCAGGATGCCTGGGTGGCTCAGTGGTTGAGTGCCTGCCTTTGGCTCAGGTCAGGATCCCAGGGTCCTAGGATCGAGCTCCACATTGGACTCCCTACAGAAAGCCTGCTCCTCCCTCTGCCTGTGTCTCTGCCCCTCTCTCTGTGTCTCTCATGAATAAATAAATAAAATCTTAAAAAAGAGAAATCCAGGTCAGGCTCACAGCAGCCGGGTGACCCTGGACACCTGCTCCTCTGAACAGAACTCGTTTGTGAACAACGGACACGATGACACCCACCTCGTACGGCAATGTATGCACAAAAGGAAATGTATGCGAGGGGCTCCATGGGGTAGATGGTCAAGAAGTACCTTCAATCCTTTTGTGTGGGGTGCTTGGGATCAGAGGAACATCATTGGCCAGGCAGCATCTGGTAGCAGTGGTTCGAATCAGCCTCCACCCAAAACCCTTTCTTCATGCTCATCCTGGGCCTGCTCTGCCAGAACTGGGGGCAGAGCTGGGGTGGACGAGTGCCACGCACTTGTTCCTGCTTAAACAAGATGCATGGGTACGACCAAAACCTTCTGCACAGCTGAGACATTCAAGCTTCCAGTTACTAACTTTAAACAAAATATACCTAAGTGGCCCCAGAAGGGTGTGTGCTGAGCAGCAGAGCCTCCTCCCACCACCACTTCCCCGGGGCCCCTCACACAGGTGTTCATTTCCCTAAAGGCACGTCTTGTGTTTGCCCAGACTCTTCTGTCCTCCTTTTGTCATTTCCATTCTGCTACAAGCCCATCCTGTGACTTTATATTTCCAGTATCAGTCTTTATATTTCCAATACCAGGATTTGATCACTTCAGGCACCTGGGGCAAAGGGGAGCTCTGTCAGTGAAGGGTCTGCCTTCAGCTCGGGTCATGATCTCCGGGTCCTGGGATCAAGTCCCACAACAGGGTCCCCAGTTGCTTCTCCCTCTCTTTCTGCCCCCACTCGTGCTCGCTCTACTTCTCTTTCTTTCAAATAAATAAATAAGGACTCAATCACTTGTTTATTTTTTTAAACAATTTCCATTTCTCTGGTGGAATTTCCTATTTGTTCATTCATTATGATTCAGCCCTCACCCTGTGAACTATTTCCCCTTAACCACACGCACACCCCAAAACTGTTCCCACTTCTACTGAATTCTCAAATTCCCTGTTTCTCTAGAGACTGAAGAATCAGACCCAGGGATTGTCACAGGAGAAAAAAGTTACTAGAATCTCTTAAAATCCTTTATTTGCCTTGCAAGCAGTTTTGCATCTCAGTCTTTACTAAAAAAAAGTATTTCACTTAAAAACTGGAGCAAGCATGTAATGTAAATGAAAACAGCAATGTAGTCCACTAAGCTATCTGGTGCAAATACACCAAAACACGCTGACCGTTGCATATTATTTTATCGGATGTTTAAAAAAAAAAATCCCTTCCCGGTGCCTCATTAAGGAACCTGCAGACCAGGACCTACCAGGAGTCCCAGAACTGTCACAGGCAGTGCCCATGATGGGAAGACCCTTGTGCCACTGGTCCTGGGGTCGTGGAAACAATGCCCGGCCCGCACCCAGCGGCGGGGATAAAACTTTCTGCTCCCTGAGTTGGCGGAAAGCACGGGGCAGAAGGAAGCAGGACTTCTGCCAACATGACGCCCAAGACAATCGTCCTCTGTGATGTTATTTCATCTCAGGCTGTGGTCACAGGAAAGACATGACGCATAATCAGCATGTATCATGCTCACTGCAAATTGCTTTAAAGATGAAGTTTAGCTAATCCTGAGAAGAAAGAGCCTCTTGAAGAAAATAAACACTCAGTGATCTTCTTGCTTAAATAAATGAGTTCCCAAAACATTACAAAATATACGATGCTACCCGATAGTATTTTTGAATGATAACGCCAGAATCTTCCAGGAAAAGTAAAGTCTGGGGGCTTTTTTTTTTTAATTTCTTGAAGCGCTTTTTTTGCACACATAAATTTTACATTTCACAGAGCTTATCAATAACAGGTCCTGGGGCACCTGGAAGGTTCAGTGGTTGAGCATCTGCCTTCAGCTCAGGGCATGACCTCGGGGTCCTGGGATCAATTCCCACATCAGGTTCCCTGCAGGGAGCCTGGTTCTCCCTCTGCCTGTGGCTCTGCCTATCTCTGTCTCTCATGAATAAGTAAGTAAAATCTTTAAAAATAATAATAATAATCCTTATGCTAAAGTGGCAAACCTTGTTGCCATTTCCTGACCACCACTGGCATGGTCAGTGCACCCGGCTGGGGCAGGTGGACACAGGCTGGTGTCCTAGCTGCTGCCCCCGAGAGAGGCCCTCTGAACCCTGAGGTACTGTAGGCAGGAGCCAGCCGGGAGAAACCTTAGGGTGAAAACGGAACTAATGGTTCAGAGGACTGGAAATGAAACAATGAGTCATTATTTGTAGTGTCTTTTACGAAATACGTGGAGAAGCTGTATACCCAGGGGAAGGGAGCCATAATCAAGGACGCCCTATTGGCAGGACGCCGAAGCTCCGCAAGAGGGCACCGTGGGGACATGCGGTGGCGGGGGGGGGGGGGGGGGGGGGGGCTGTGAGCTCCCAGGCACGGGTGGGGAGGCAGGGGACCCTCCAGGAGTACAGGCCAGAGCAGAGACCATGGTCCCCATGGGGCGTGCGAACCACAGAACTGGAACCCTAGGGCGTTTCAAGCCTAAGTGACACTGTTTGAAATGTGACTGGCTGCCACTGTCACTTGTGGCCGGGCCCAGTGGTGATGCCGGTTGCTAGGAGGCCGGGAAGCGACAAACAAAGTCAGCAGGATCGCATTTCCTCTGCCTCAGCCCTTTCAACAGCCTCCCGCCTGGACGGTCTCTGTTGCGCATGTGGCCGGGAACCGGGTCTGCCTGCGGGTTTGCAGTGGGGAGGACAGTCCAGGTGGCAGCTGGGGGTTGGCAAAGGCCAGCTGGGCGGGTCCGGCCCACCACCACCTGTCCTGGCCCCACGGCAGCCAGAGCGAGGCGCCGAGGCTGTGTCTGCGGCCGACGGAGGGGGTGGGCAGGCCTGTGGGGGCTGAGCACCTGCCCAGGAGACGTGGTCAGACTGCGCGGGGCTGGGGTTCACACCTGGACTTGCCGGGTCTAGGTCCAGACTTCAGTGTTGAAAAACGAGTGCATGAGCAGGAATGGACAGAAGAAAACTCTAGAACGGGGCCGACGGGGGCACAGAATGCCCACCCGCAGGGACGGGCACGTGCCAGGGAGAGAGAATGCTCCAGGCTGAGCTGAGTGCCCCGCACGTGCCAGGGGTATGAGGTGCCACAGCCGCTGAGGCCCGAGGGACACCCCCGCCTCCCAGTCCCGAGCCCAAGCCCCACGACGGGCACACGTCCTAGCAGAAGCTCCGGGAAGCCTGCCTCCCGCCTGGGGGCCCCGCGCGCCCAGGGCACCCCTCACTGATCCTCGTCCGTGGGACGCAGGCTCCAAGACGCACCGGCCTTGTCCTGCGGCCTCGCACCTGGCACCTCGCACCTCCGCAGGGGCGCCGTGGCCGCAGGGGGGAGAGGGCCGGGCCACGCGGGAGACAGTGCGGCAGCCAGCGGGGGCGCGTCCCGCACATGGCCACGGGCCTCAGCCGCGCCCTGCTCCAGCCCCGCCGAGGCTGCCCCCGAGTCCAGCAGCCGCTGCGCCCGCAGGGAAGAGCGAGTGGCAGGGTCCCGGAGCCGCCGCGGCCGGGCTGGCGGGCGGAGGGGCGGCGCCGGGTCCAGGTCTCAACCCAGGTCCACGGCGCGGGCGCGGGCGCGGGGCCGCCCCCTCGGGGCTCCTGACCGCGTGCAGGCCGCCCCAGGCCTGCTGCCCCACCGCCTGCGCCAGGGCCGGGGCTCAGCCACCCCGCGGGGACGGCTCCCAGCTCTGGCGGCTCCGGGCTGGAAGGATCCGCTTGGCCCCACACCCGAGAAAGACTCCTGCCGAGATCCATCGTCGCAAGGTCGCGGGCAGCCCGAGTGCGCGCGTGGTGGGGACAGGTGCAGGGACGACTGGGGTGGCTGCGGGGCTCTGAGGGCCGGCGGCGGACAGGGCCCAGATGCCTCCGCCCACGCCCTCAGTGAGCGGGACGCCGCACAGTGCTGATGGGTTCCCACACCGATAAGAGCTCGTCCAGAGGGTCTGAGGGGCCAGCGCGCTGCAGGGGCTTGTGTGGAGGGTGGCGTGTCCCGCCTTACCCGTGGGCGAGAACGCGGGAGGGCGAGGCTGCCGCTGTGCCCCAGGGCAGCACACCGCAGGGCTTAGACCCCGGCAGCCCCAGAGGCCCTGCAAGGTGGGTTCACCGTGGACTCTGAACGCCAAGCCAATGTGTCTCTGACGCACAGGCTGTGACATAAGAAGGAATCAGAAACGGCTCCCAGGCCTGGGTCTGAGCAACGGAAGGATGAGATTGTCCTCAATGGCCGGGGGGACGCAGGGACGCTCCCAGTAACTACTGAGGAACCGACCTGGACGTAGCACACAAAATAGCACACTATTAGTATGATTATTGTTATTATTACTATCAGTGTGTTATTGTTATTGGTTCTTGTAGTTATAGCAGTTGACAGTGCCCAGTGCCATGTACCTCACGTGCTGGTTAGGGCTGGGGTCCCCAGAGGATTCCAGGACAGGGGCCTGGACCCTCCCCCAGTACCTGTGTGGTGTCTCCCCAGCTTGGGAGCCTCGACGGCTGTGATGGGAGAGGAAGCCAGGGGTGACCCAGCTCCCACAGGACTATCCCCTACAATCGAGCCGCCATGTCCCAGTAGGGTGGGGATCGGTTTCCCCTCCCGATGGAACCAGAATCGCAGTTTGTGACCCTGTCTTGAAGCCACAGCAGGTCTGGGAAGGAGAGGAGTCCGGCCAGGAACGTTTCTCTCCAGAGCTGAAATAAAGCAGACCCAACAGTAACTGGATGCCTGCAGCCCAGCTCCCACCCCCCACCCCCACCCCCGTGGTGGGAAATCCACCGACATATCCACAGGGACAACCAAGAATGAGGAGTAAAACAGCATCAACCAACCAGGACCACGGGGAAACACTCCACAGAGGGAGGGCCAGGCGGAGTCTCCTGGGCGGGGTAGGGGATACAACCTGCAGCACATCTCACCTTTTACTCTGTGCACATGTATCACATCCCCAAAATAATTAGTTTTTAAGAGGGTGTTGATTTTGTCTCCATAAATTTGACTTTATTTTGCTTTTTTTTTTAAGATTTTATTTATTCATGAGAGACACAGAGAAAGAGAGAGAGAGAGGCAGAGACACAGGCAGAGGGAGAAGCAGGCCCCATGCAGGGAGCCTGACGTGGGACTCAATCCTGGGTCTCCAGGATCACGCCCTGGGCTGAAGGTGGCACTACACCGCTGAGCCACCAAAACTGCCTTTTTTTTTTTTTTTTTTTTTTGCTTTTTAAAAAGATTGTCTTTGTTCGAGAGACAGAGAGCAAGCAGGGGGAGCGGCAGACAGAGAGGGACAAGAGGACTCGCTGTGGAGCAGGGAGCCCGACGTGGGACTCAACCCCAGGACCCCGGGATCATACCCTGAGCCGAGGGCAGACACTCAGCTGACGGAGCCCCCAGGGTGCCCCAGTAAAATCGATTTTAAAAGCGTGTAGGAAAAAAAAAATCCACGTGGCACAGCCGTGTCCACGGTGGTCTGTGCTCATGCCTAAGGCCCACGAGGACCCCAGCATCCGTCCAGGGCAGCCTCACTGAGCCCCCAGCCCTCCAGGCTCACAGGGACCCACTTGGGAGGTGGGAACAGCTGCGGGAGCTCTGCTTAATGGGCGCCTCTTCCCCGGGGGAACGTGGTGGTCACCCTCACCTCGAGTTACTTGGAGGGGGAAGTCCTTCCTCTAAATTAAGTGCATTATTTTTCCTGAATAAAGACACACCTGTCACGAAATCCACTGGCCCAGGGACACTTGATACAGCAGCTGTGATGGCCCCTGGCTGAAAATACCCCATTTCCCCTGAGTCACTGTGCTCAGGGCTGGAGAAGCCTCTGGATAGAGTAAAGCAACACACAGATCCGCCCTGGACTGAAACTCCTTGGCCGGAAGGAAACCTGCAGCGGGGCAGGGGGCACGCGTGGGGCAGGACCCTGGGGTTGTCTCTGGAGCATCAGTCCCTGGGGGATGGTGGGGGGGTGGCACCTAGAGCTCAGCCCTGCCTAGCAGCAGTGAGACAAGGTCACTGCCGGTCATGAACCCTCTGCAGACCACAACCAACGACCCCTGATCCGTACTTAGTTCTGGAAGAACCTGCTCTGGTGTTTCGCCAAAGCCTTTACTAAGGTGGTAACGTGGCACAGGGTGCCATCAAGTTCACCAGCAGGCAGGGCAGTGGTGGCCGTGGGGGTGGAGCAGCATCCACAAGTGAGCAGACCAGGTCAGAGGGCTCATGCCACCTGCTCTGGGCCCAGATTTGTGCCCCGTGGATGCCTCCTCCCCCTCCATGGTTCTGGAAGCCTCTGCCTCCCACAATGGCAGCAGCATGCAAGGAGGATGACCAGCGGCCAACGCCACCAGGACAGGGTCCGACAACGCACTCTGCAGGGGCCACGCTCCCACCAGGGACCATTCTGTGGGTGCCAGGGCGGGTGGAGGGCCTGGGCCTGCTGTCCCCTCAGCAGTGGGGTCTCTGCTCCACCCGACTCAATTTTCTCATTTTCCAGTCTCAGGCGATGAACCAAGGGGAGGACACCTTGGTCACCCTGGGACACAGCCAACTCTTCCTTCCTCCAAGGTGGTAACTGGTGGGCGCTCTGGGGGCTGAAACAAGAGCCCTTTCCCCCACAGATGCCCTAGTCGCGCCTGCAGAAGCTAAGTCACAGTTTGTTACTTTGGCTTCATGTATTAGCACCTGCTGAATCCATGGATGTAGAGCTACTGGAGCACAGCCATGACCGCAGAGCCCTGTGACCTGGCCATTCGGGAGTCTCTGCAGGCCGGCACTGAAGCAATCTTGAGGATGTCCCCCTACAAGGAAAGGCCACATTCAGAAACGTGGGCCTGAGCCACTGTAGCCACTTGCTTCTTAACTGTCCTGGCCCTGAGCAACCAGCAGAGGATCCACGCACATGCCAGGCATTTTCAGGCCATGGAGACCCCAGGGGAACCAGGCACGGCTCACAGGCTTCAGACCAAAGAAGTGGCACCTGCGTGACAGGGCCGAGCCAGCTCGTGGAGCTCTGGGTGTCCGCCCGTGAAGGCCTCCCCAGGCACGTGGTGTGTACACTGAGACTCAGGTGGACAGGGAGGACGGGACACAGGGGCAAGTTGAGGCTGGACTCACAGTGGCTGTCGGTGCCCTGGCAAGGAATCACTGTGCACAGTCATGGGCATCCATTCAGGGCAGGTGACGTGGGGACATGTCCCGCGGACTGCATGGGGCACGGCTGGCCAGGCGTCAGGGTGGGAGGCCAGGTTCAGGAGGTGATGCCTGTAACCCAAATGAGACACAAGAGGAGCTAGACGTGCTTCCAGGGCAGAGAGGATGGGGAGACAGGGATGCAGAGCACGGGACCCTCCCCACATGTGAAGGGCTTAAAAATCAGGAGGAACAAAAGAAAAACGGACCAAGACGACATGAGAGGAGGGAGATCATGGGACAAGATGCACCAGGGGCCTTGGACAAAGGCACACACCATGTTCACTCATGAGACTAGTGCAGTAGAGGCCACGCTGAGGCCACCTGTCCCACTGGCCATGGCAGTGGCATCAGACTGCGACCCTGTGTCTGGTAGGAGGGACATGGGCCTACTGGGAACCATCGGGGCCCAGAGCAGAACGGGGAACGTAAGTGCAAGATGCAGATGAGCCCCATGCTCTTGGACCTGGATTGGAGGCACCTCGGCCCATCTTAGCCACAAGCACCTAGGGGGCCTCAGAGCAGAGCACCCACACCTGATCCTCCATGGATGAGTACAAGCACCCACTGGAGACACTGGAAATCCCTGGGCAATGCTGATTCTACGTTTGGGTCAAAGGTTAGCCCAGAAGCCGTTTTGATTCCAGAGCAGGATAGGTGGCGCCCCCCCGCCCCAGGACTGGTGGGACACAGGGGCAGGGAGGACCCCAGAGCCAGTAGGCAGACCTAGGATGATGCCGGCATGGCATCGAAGGCTACAAGACCGTTGCAAGACAGAGAAAACCACCTAGAATCCATGAGTTCGAGGGAATATGGAAATCACCATTTTCAACGCCCCATATAATTACAGATTCAGGCAAAAGTCATCCATCCATGATCCCGAAGGTGTTTGATGCAACCGGCCTCCCACATGGGGCACCCCTGCACCAACCTGGCCTCCCCTGGGTCTAGTCGGGAAGGGGCACGGCCTGGGGGCACCTGCCTGGGCTCCTCTGAAGAATCAAAGAGAAAATAGACGCTAAATGAAAAGTGGAGTGGGTGGAGGGGGGGTTCTTGATGAAGACCTGAAAGAGACACAGCAACCCCACCTAATGCGAGCACTCTGATGGGAGCCTCTGGGTCTCTGAATGTTTTAAGCAGCCTTGGAACCCCATGGGGACAGCTCGAGAAACTTGGCCACAGCCTGCACGTGGATGAAGGTACGTCTGCCCCCACACTAACAGGCCACGAGCGGGGGACCAGGTTGACACTGTTGCAGGCGTCTGTCTGTCTAAGGATTTGGGGCTGGGTGTTGTGACCTCTGCACTTTTCACTGAGCCCTCAGCAAACCAGAGTAAGGGGAATGTGCACGCGGCAGCGCGTTGGCAACACATGAGGGAAGACGTGCGTCCCTGGACATCCTCCTCCAACCCTTCTCCAAACTGGAGACTTTCCTAAGTGGAACCACAGGGTAGCTCTGATGCTGCGGGACACTGTGTAGAAGGGGATTCCAGCCTCTGCCAGCACGGTTCCACGCCCACACTGGCCCACGTGCACGCATGGTAGGAAGCCTGTGGGCCGCTCTGGTCGCCTGGCCACCCGCCCAGGTGCAGCAAGACTTCCCGATGTCCTGGGTGGGCCACACACGAAGATCTCACTGCATCTGCTGAGGTCGCAAACACTGGAAAAGGAGCTCATCGCGGAGGAGGCCGCGGAGGTGAAGCACCCTGTCCCGACGGACCACCCTGGCCTCCTGAAGTCCACACCAGCCCTGTGTCCCGAACCCCTGACGCAGGGGGCAGATCCAGGAAAGGAGACTAAGCCAGGGACCGAAACAGCCAGGGGGTTGGGGGTCCTGCTGGACACCAGCACCACTGGCACCACCGAGACACCAAACGTGCTGAGGGCGTTGGTGCGTGATTAAAACATGGGTTTTGTGAAAACAAGCCTGTACACCAGCCAGTGTGTGAGCACCGGGTCCGCGAGGGGTGGGGGGGTGACCCAAGGGCCAGAGGGCATCTCTCTGCCTATCTCCAGGACCACCGCCTGCCCCACAGGTTGGGGGCCGCTTTCCAGCTCTTTCTTGCACCTGCTCCCACATCCTCCTCCCCGCAAGGCTGCTGAGGCAGGGTGGGGGGGTGGGGGGCGGTGGCCGGGAGAGCCCAGTATCCTCACTCCTTCCCTCCTGGGCATTTGCCCATGTTTGCTGCTTTCAAGTGAAGAGGATTGTGCGGGCACTGGGGACGTGTTCGTTCCGAGGACATTACAGGCCACTCAGTGTCAAAGCAGGACCAAGAACCCCCAGATGACAGGTCAAGGGAGTAAAGATGGGTCATCACACAAGAACATTTATCAGTCGGCAGGAGCCCATGGTGCAGACGGCTGGAGCCACAGTGAGCGGGCCGCGTCACGGACTCAGAAACCCCGACACAGCGGTTCTGCTGGGTGGGGAACGTGTCCCACCCAAGGCCGACCAACTCCACCCATGTTGTTAGCCAGCCGCTCGCCTGCCTGGAGTCCTGCAGAGCTGGGGGCGGGGGGGGGGGTGGCTGGACACACTGCGTCCTGTTCGCCTCCTCTGGTGTCAAGCCACCGACCCCCATGGCTGGGGAAGCAAGGGCTTTTTGTCATCCCGCCCATTTGCGAAATTCATTGGCTTTAACAAACTGTTCCCCAAACACCTGGCCTGTACCCTCCCCTGGGCAGCACATACCATATCATATTCACAAAGTGCTCCCTCACCCTGAGAAACACCCCACCAGCTGTCAGAGGTGCTGAAGCCCATCCCAGCGCAGCCAGAACATCCTCATCAGGGACACACAGGCCAATGCAGTCGGACTTAGTGTCGACAGAAGCCAGGTGATGGAATCGATCTGGAAAAGCGCGACAATCTTACGAGCACTCTGAAGTAATTTTCAGGGCAGGTCGGGGTGGGGGTGAGGGGCATGTGAGGGGGTACCCATCGGTACCAGGGTGGGAAAGCAACCTGGAGTAGGACACGACCTCCGGGGAAGCCAGGCCTAAGCCGTGGTTTGCTACTGTGCCTTGTGGCGGGTGTTGCCCTAGCCTTGACCCTTGGGCCTCGTCCTTGGGGGGGATCATGTTTGAAGCCCAGTACATCATAAGGGCCTTCCCCAAACACCACAGATGGAACTGACGTAGAACCTACATGAGGACCTTGGTGTGTGAGTCCCGACGTGAGGCCCGAGGAACGGCAGCCTCCAGCACAGAAGAATGGCTCGGTGCTCCTGCGGGATCTGCTCTGCATGATATGCAAAGGTGCAAGGGCACGCGTGCAATCCAGAAGAGCTCTGTGAGCACTGGCCAGCACTGAGGTCTGTGGGGGGATCATGGGCCCCCTAGGACTCAGCCGAGTGTGCAAATGCGGTTCACAGAGCCACTGTTCCCGGACTGGCCTTAGGTCTGACACCCTAAGCTTTCGTACGGGGAAAACAAAACCCCTAAGGAAATGGGCACATGTCTTTGGCAATATTGGGGCTCAGCTTCCCCAGCCCCCCCAGCATGAGAGGGAGGGAGGGGTCCTCGTGTGGGGAAACACAGACGATGGGACCAGGTTTGGCCCAACAAGCAGATCTGCTCAAACTACTGCTCACCCACCTGGAGAACTCGTCCACATCTCTCCTCTCCCCCCACAGACTCCCCCAGTCCCTCCTCTCTCCCCACATCCCTCCTTTCTCCCATACAGACCCCCCAATCCCTCGTCTCCCCCCAAAGACCCCATGTCCCTCCTCCCCCCCAGACCTCCATGTCCCTCATCTCCCCCAGACCCCCCACGTCCAACCTCGCCCCACAGAGACCCATGTCCCTCTCCCCCCACAGACCACCCACGTCTCTCCTCTCTCCCTACAGACCCCCCCCATGTCTCTCCTCCCCCCTCAGGCCTCAGTCTGAGGAGGCTCACAGGCACAGGTGTTGGGCACCCACTGTATGAGCTGAAGACATCTCAGCTCCTCACATGGAAATTCTAGACATTTGTTCCTAAAACCCAACCTGAGGGAGGAGCGTTCCTGAGGAAGCTAACTGCACTGCGTCACATACAGACGTCCTGCGAGAAGCCCAGCACCTACTGCCTCGAACAGGGTCCTGTTCGAACAGGTCCGAAGCATTCCTGGGTGGGCTTCCTCCCCCGCGGGACCTCGGCAGCGCACTAAGGGGGGGGGGGTCCCTGTTCATGTTCCCCCAGGAGGGACAAGGGAGCCTCTCCAGCTACTGTGCCAACATGACTTTCATCCTCCTGGGCAGTGATGGGGTGGGGGGGATTTAAGCAGATTTTCATTGGAAACACAGGCAAAATCCCTTGTCCATGGGCCCCCACATACCCAAACAGAAATAACAAATGCAAAGTGAAGTTTGACATGTGTTTTTATGTACAAACAGTCAACAGTACAGATGCAGTTACCTCCCATTAATATCTGCAGCAAATCCCCTAAAAAACATGAATGGAAACTACTCCTGTGCACAAAGGGCCCCATCCTTCCCTAATCACGTTAACCTCAGGAGGAGCCTGTTCTCAGCCCAACCCTCGTGGGGCCTCCCAGGAAGGATGGGGCACTTGGGGACCAGGTGGCACCCCGTACCCCCCAGAGAGCGGGGTGACTTGGGGGCATGTGTTGCCTAGGCCCCGGCGAAGCTTCTTCCCTAGATGTGGTCTTGTCAGGCTGTCGCAGGGGCGTCCTCCCCGCTGCAGGGCCAAGGCCCAGAGGCAGGAGAAGAGGGCCTAGGAGCACATGCAGACGGATGGACGAATGGAAGGAACCCTGGGTATTCTGACAAAACACACCTGGTCACAACGCAACCCCGGGAAGCCAATATACCAAGTTCGGCAGCAGGGAAACAGACCTCACATTCCAGGATCCACAGGTAAGCCTTTTACAGGAAGGGACATAAGCAGTTAGCACCCACTGCGCCAGCGGACTCTCCCTATCCCTCGGGCCCGGCCACCGCCCATGTGGAGCATAGCACGCAGCGCCCGCATTACACAACACAGCAGGCGGACGGCACGCCTTGCACCCCAAGCCAGCCGCCGAGCTCAGGGAGCTCCTCCTGGGCTCGGCCCTGGCAACACAGGCCCTACAGGCTTCATTCAAAGCGACGCAGGTGGTTGTACAGCGACTGGACGTAGGTGAAGACGCACATGGGGTCCGGCTTGCGGCCCATCAGCATCATGTCCTCCACCTCGATGAGGCGCTCACAACTGGCCAGATTCCTACAACACAGAAGCCCCATCA